TCACAATCTGGGGCAAGTAAGACGTGGTCACATAGCCCCAAACTAGAATCCCCTGTTCTGTGGGAGCTGATTATACAAGATGCTATCGAGAATTAAACCCATAAACCACGGCCAAGCAGTAAGTAACACTGCCCTGCCTATTTCAGCCGCGAAGCAGTAATGCGTTTCGGTTCAATAGGAGGGGCAGCCATTGTACTCTAAAAACTGAGATATTGGTACGGATATCTCAAGGTGAGTGGCGGAATTTACGTTAGAGATGTCTATGGGCTCCAGTTACCACTTAATACCAGGTCGGCCTTGAGTTCGTCAACCCATCTAAACTATAAAAATGATAATAATAAAAATGCACCACCAATACAGAGGAATGCAATATTACGAAAAATACTTTCGCACGCTTCGGTACGCACGCTTATATTATGTTGTCTGTTAATGGCTTCAAGTTGTTTAGTTTTAGCAACGCAAGTCCTGCGCTCCTATTTATAGTAGGAGAACTATTATTCGAACGTAGTCAAGACATCGATATCACGTCTCAGTGCTTGGCGGTATTCAAGTTGTGAAAGCTGTGGATTCCGCTTAATATCATTACTTGAAAGCGAGCGAGCTTGAGTGTTTGGGGGGGATTCTCTGCAAGGTCTGGATTTGATGAGTGAGGATACGCGGCCCACATCTTTACTACTCTAAATTGGCAACCGAAAATAGTTTGCGACCCAACAAGTGGTCTCTGCAATCCGTAGAGACCATAATGTGAATGTTCAGATCACAATTTACAATACTATTGAGACTGTTACTTAATTTGGCGACTTAGATGATGACGCAGACTTAGACTACGCTTCTAGATCTACCCCACAAACCGGCACGCGCTAATGCTTCGTGGCAGAAATGGTGGTATCCACACGTGTTGACGTAAAACAAGCCGTACTCTGAGGAATGAGGGGAGACAATTCTCAATGGAAGAGATATTTGCAGAGAGCATGCTGGTACTACATATGAGTTATTGCAGCCGCTACGGATGGTCGGTGTCATATGCACGTATTGTCTGATCACCATAGCGATCCAACCTTGTTGATAAGGCATGAGAATTACAATTTCATGGCGCCGTTAAAACTGTTCCCACTGTTATGTGCATAGCGTGTACCCCGATTGTCATCATTCACAACTCAACCTCGAAAGCAAAGATGCAACCAAATCTGATCAAACTATTCCAAGTTTTCTCTGACCCCGTTTTCGATACATTTACCCTAAACCAGTTGAAGAACATGAGACGGATGTACTCAGATCTATGCCAACGCAGAAGTTAAGTTTCGCCTGGCACTAATGATTGGTGATTCTACAAGAACTCAGCTAGGTCAGTGAGGAGCCGTGCCTATTCCCTCCGCTTTAACCCATAAATTATTTGACTTTACTGTAAGTACGTTGTATATTGGTTCTTCCACCCATCAAACCGGGCTGCATTATGACTGCTTCGTTATAGATTTAGGTAGGCGATTAGGTAGGTTAGGCCTACGCGTACGGGCTTACAATTCGCCTATGCACCTACCACCGGTAATTATCATAAATTGCTGAATGGTTCTCTATTCCTTTGAAACTTCTGTACCTGTCTACGGGATCTGAACACCAGTAGTCGCAATGCTCGATATTATTACATCAGGGTACGTACAGACGTATTCCTTCTATAGACGAAAATTTTGATGGTTTGAATATTATATGTATTCTTTGGATAATATAACAACATCACTGGTTTCGATTTAATGTATACATTTGATAAACATGTCATTAATTTGAGATTTTCTCCGAAATCTAATTTCTTGGAATTTAAATTTAAAAATATTTTTGTTTCTTTTTTAAATTTAAACCGAAGATAGCTGTCGAGCATCTCTAATTACCTGATTACTTTTTAAGGACTAATATGAGTATATGATTACATTTTCCAAACTCCTATTTTCCATCCGTAGTAGGAGTAGGAGGATATAGTTTTTAATGCTTACATGGGTGAAGGAGTTCACGGCTCACCCGGCTATTAAGTAGTTGCTGGATCCCATCGACATCAACAATGTAAATGCCACCACACACTTTGAGACACCAGTTCTAAGTCTCAGTTTTACAGTACAACGACTGCCCGACCCTTAAAACCCAAACGCATTACTGTTTCACGACAAAATTAGACAGCCTACCCATGCGGAATCACGACGCACCCTACCACCTGTTAAAGGTGATAACCTTCAACTAATTCCTATCGTGGCCTACGTTCACAAAGAAGATTGATACCATACAGACAACTGCTCGTAAAACCAGGACATGAGCTACTGCTTACATTTAAGATAGCTTACTAGCCGTAGGAGGTATTGTGAGCCCTTATAAGCATGATGTACTTGAGCCTGCCTTGGAACCGTCACGGGTTTCCGTCTGAAGGGTGGCCCGGCCATATAGTTTGACAATCTTCCTCAATGTGGGAAATGACATTCACAGTACGATATCTGTAGTGATAGTAATCATACAATTGAAGATATTTGCCAAAGAAATGAAATGTTGGAGTTTGAATATGAAAGTAATGGCAGGCAACACTTGTCACATGTGAAGTAACAGTTTTCGAATATTGGAATGCTTATTTAAATGTTTAAAACAGATGATCATCTTCTCTTCAGTGAAGACAATGACTTCTCATCTAGACAAGGACAGCGCAACATCTTAGGGTTATATAAAAATAAAATATATTATTTGCAATATAATTATATTAACCATGAAGCACGTGTTTTTAAATAGCCCCTCACCTACAGAACCCAATCCCCTCAAATTTAACCATCCAACAAATTTTCTAACAACTTTACAATACATAGTCTGAACAATATGTAGACCAAAATTTCATTAAGGAAGATGCCAGTTTGGTCGATATTCTATAAATATTTCCGGGCTTCAGTCACCACAGTAAAAAATTAACATGAATGTTATTATGGTTGAAAAGGCGAAATCATTGTACACAATTTGTATGACAGATTAATTAGCAACACTTAAATAACCATTTACGATTCATGCTATCTCAGCAGGAACTATAAATAGCTCATAATAATGATGACTATTACTTACTGTATGATGGTAATTATAACTAAAATAATAAACAGTACATTTACCTCTGTGTTATATCTTGTAATTATTTATATCTATTAATACTCTAGAATTCATTTATTTGGAGACTTTAATGATTGTCATATCAATGATATTTATGCTGATTTTGGTGATAAGGCTTATTCTCATAATAACTTTATTTACTGGTGGTAGGACCTTTTGTGAGTCCGCGCGGGTAGGTACCCCACCCTGATTTCTGCCGTGAAGCAGTAATGCGTTTCAGTTTGAAGGGTGGGGCAGCCGTTGTAACTATACTTGAGACCTTAGAACTTATATTTCAAGGTGGGTGGCGCATTTACGTTGTAGATGTCTATGGGCTCCAGTAACCACTTAATACCAGGTGAGCTGTGAGCTCGTTCGAATTCAAATATAAAAAAAACCACATTGGTTTATGAGGTTAACTTTTTTTTTTGCTTTTTAGGCAGATGAATATACGGTTCATCTGGTGATTAATGATTTCCGTAGCTCATTGACGACAGCAATGCCTTGGGCACAACCAAGTTGCTTCCTACCATAATCACATATTGTAGTATCCACGGATGCTTTTGAAGACGTTATTCACAAACATCCTGTGTTCATTGCTCTCAGAGGCCATAATTAACTTCAACAGAGAGTTTATATTCTGTTAAATTGATCATGTATGTTTAATTTCAAAACCATGAGCATTAAAAAAGGGCACATTATTTTTGTACTACGTACTACACTTACTTGTAAGCTTTCAACAGATTGACTGTGTGTCAGGGCCACCACATTGCTTGGAGAGGTACTCTTAGCACTTAGCAGTGCCCAGACCTTCCGACTAATGTATAATCTAGTAATATAAATTTGTAGTTTGGATATAAGTTTCAATAAGACATTGATGACTGTTTTCAACAGATGCTTAAAGAGAGTGTAGATTTCACTAGTTTAAACCAACTCTCAATCTATGTAAAACAGTATGATGCTAATTTCATTATTATAAAATATCATTATTTTCCTCCAATATTAAAATATTAATAATAAATGTAATATCATGAAGATTAGTTTTTATTCCACCTCAATAAAAATAATTGAAGGGCATTTTAAATTGTAATTTTTGTAATTACAACAATGATAACAAACCTTACATCCTATTACATAACCCATTGTCGTGTTTTTTTTTTTAAATAATTTGGTCCATAATAATTGAAATTCATACAATTTAGACTATTTTTCACAGTTTAATCTCGCATTTTTATTGTCATTACATCAATCTTCTGTAACCACGAAAACACTAAATTAATCGAAAAGTCTGTAATCATATTAATATGACGACAGTAAAAAAACGTGAGAACTGTAAAAATAGTTATACTTAAATATATCTAAGACTCCGGAAAAGCGAAGACAATACCATAATCGCACTTCAACCACTACACTTGGAATGCACAAGATCTTGGATTCACAAAATCATAATAGGTACTAGTTTCTTAAAGCATAAAGATTCGATGTTATCAATCGAAAAGTGTGTCAATAAACGGGGTCATTCAAAAAGAAGTTATTGGCTTTGTTTATATACATCAAGAACTTTTCAACTGTTAATTCTAGTACACAATACCTTTAGCAATATACTTAATGACCGTAAAATGGTATATCCGACAATTTACTCAATATTTTTTTTAAAGAAAAACGTTTTTACCTTTGAAATTACTGCAGAATAAATATAATAGAAATGATTTTGCTATTCCATCTTGATTTATCGTAACTTAATTAGCTAATACTGAAATTTCTTTTTTTAACTTTATTACTTAAAGTAGGCCCAAGATCATTTTCGTGAACTGTGTCTTTTTACCTTCAAAAATCATCTGTTACGTGAGTGATTTCACTTTTTTATTATTTATAAATATTTAAAAAAAATCGCTCACCTGGTAAATAATTGTAGTAAAATTGTACACCAATTATCTTCAGGATGTGTTGAAGTGATGGTTAATAAATAAAAGACAAATAAAAAATGTAGTACGTGAAAAACTTTACACTACGGCCAACCTAGCATACCGCCCGACATTTTCAGCCAGGGTGGACTGAGCAAAACTACAAGAAACTAACTATTTCAAATATTTAAATGTTGCCGGTTTTTATCGATTCTTCCGTGATGAAAACCTACTAATTTTTTTGTTTTTAGTAGCTATTATTTCATAGCATTTCGTCTGCATTGTCATCCCATTTGTGTTTATTTGCGATAAATTTGGTTTCTTGTGTTATGCTTAAGGTGTACTTCATTACAATACGATGTGTGGTGAGTGTCCGTTGGCTAATTGTAAAGTAATACTAACTATTAGAAATTCGCATTTTTACAAATTAAACCGAAGTTGTTTTATTTAATAAATATATTTAAAAATAACACAAAAACATTTACTACAGTTGAGCCATGACGAATGGACCCAGAGTCTAGTGTAGTATCGAATATTTCACCTTTTCTAAAACAATACCTTCTGAAAGACAACCTTGTAATGTTTTTACGAGTCTCCTGCGGTTCAGTGTCGGTAAGAACTTCCCAAAAAGTCACAAAAAATGGTATAACTATAGTTTTACCGAACCAAACCCATAACATGACGAATACAAGCGTCAGCAATATAACTTGACAGAATAGGTAGAAATAGTAAGGAAATATGATCGGATTCGGTGTGGTGATCTTCGTGATTTTACAAACGAGCCATTGTATCATCATCCAATACACGAGGCACTGGTTTGTTCCAGCACAGAGCGATACACAGCATTCCCAAAACCGTGCACACAATATATATGGGAAGCAAAACACTTCCCACCAGTTATATCGGAAGACATCATCGGCTTGCGTGTGAAAACGCTCTATTTCAATTTCGTCACATCGTATCCGTTCTTCTCGCTTCTTCTTTTTCTTTTTCGGAGCCATTGTGACTGTGTGTCGTTATAAAATATCTACAATATTAACGAAATAAGTTTTGAAAATGAGCTGTTGGTTCTATTGACATTGAAATTAAGAATAAGCAGTGACATTTGATGTGATTAATCAAAGTTGTCTTTTTTAATTAATTTAAAGATAATCATAAAGATAATGCATTTTCTATTTTACTTTAAAGTCGAGAAACTTTAAACATGTTTCTTTTTAACAGTGCTAATGAAACACATTAAAAGGGGCATTGGTTTTTCCATGCTCTTTTATTGACGTAATACTTCCACAGTAGCCTAAAACTTTGTTATTTCGGGCGTTGAAGTATACACAACAGCTCGAGGCACGATTAACTATTAAATAATCCTTCTGTCCTGTATTCCTCCTGTAAAAGCTTAAAATGTTTACACAGTGGACAGAGTTGATATTCAAACCGTATTTCAGCTGAACTCTTTTCAAAGTATCTAATATACGCATCTAATTTCATGTTATAATGATAGACCTTTTTAATAGATCCATAATAAAATAAAATTTCATCGAATTTAGCCTTATATCATGTTAAATTTACATTTTAGGTATATAGTATGTTTTGCGAGCCCGCTCTGGTAAGGACTATTATTCTGCTCATTTTGGCCACAAAGCAATCATGCCAGTAGGACAACTGATATTAATCTAATCGAGACATCGACCTCATGACTCGAGCTTGGTAGCAGCATTCAAAATGTTTGTTAACTTTGGTAATTAGATAACATCAGGTAAGCCGTGAGCTTCATTTATGGACCTAAAGTATTAAAAAAAACCATTGAAATTTAATGATTTTACTGTTTTGATAGTTGTTAAAGGTAATTAATTTTCACGTTCTTCAATTTTAGTAATTTTTAAAGACCTTTTTGATAATGAATACACCCCTACTGGTTTTTATAAATAGAAAAATGGTAGCACAGACTATCCGCATTACCAATTATGATGTTGTAGGTACTTATTAACTCCATGTGATTTCCATTTTCCAACATTTGACTTTTTGGCGGGAATGCTAAGGAACGCATTGTTTTATAAACTTTTCTTATTTAAATGTGTAGCATTGAGCCATAACCATTTAGCATGAAAGTAAAGTGAAATAAAATTGCCGAATGTTACTTCTTGGGTGCTTTGAAAAATTAAATTGAAGTCTCAGTATACTCGCAATTTTACTGGGAAATTTAAATTTACTTACATTAAATTGTATATCTAAACTTGTTTTATTTAGTTTCATTTCATAAACAATTTCAGGAAAATCAACATCAATTTATTTTGTTCCAATTGATTTATAAAAAGAAAAAAATATGAAATTGGCTAAAAGGCTAGTTTCTGGACCTTTAAATAGTAATAAAAAAAACATAACAATTTTTCTTCAGTTGCGTGTTGACCATGAGGGGGGTAATGCAGTTTTTCTAAAATAATAACAAAACTACGTACTTCTAACGTGATTATTATGATAGAAACGTAAATAACTTCATTAACTGCACGAATTGCCTGTTACAACGATTTACTGGCTTTTATTGGCGGGTAAGTCAGATTTAAACATAAGTTTTATAAAAAGTGAAAGTATTAAATTATAATACCTAACTTATGTTCCGTTTCTACTGTGTTTCAAGGGTTTTCCCTTATATTTCAACGATGAATAATCACTGTTTATCTGTAAAAATATTTCTAAATATGAAATAAATATATGTGGAATATAAATTTCGCGTAAACAATAAATTAAAACAGGTTTTTTTGACCTTAACTTTAGTTAAACTCAATCGAAACTCGATTTGGTACGTGATCAACCTTGGAATATTAGTTCTTATTATTTGTTCCTGCTTAAGAAACTTGCTCTACTTTTGCTGGCTTGTAAAAAAAATATCATATTTACTTTTTGTACATGTAATTTTTGAATGAAATGTTAAATTCAGTCTAAGCTTTTAAATTACGCTTAAATCTTATCCCATGAGTAAATCCCGAAGCTAAAATGCTAATGGGAAAAGTTAAAGTTTGAAAATGACTTTGAATTCATAAACTTTAAAAAAATACGCCAATTAGAATTTAAATAGAAAACTTTTAAATGCATGCATAATATGTATTATGCAGAGCTGTTAATATTTTTCTTGATATAAAAAGGATAAAGATCTACTTTTTTTGCAAAAATAAAATTACAGATTATTTATTTATTACTTTTCCTTGAGAATATAATTTTTAAATTGGTTACCGGTTTTACCGATAAATATCAATTTTTCAAAAAAAAGGTCAAATACATATTTTACATTAAATTAACTTAAAATACAAAATGTTCAATTTGGTAAGTTAGAACTCTAAATTACAAATGGTTATAATTTCTAGCAAACACACATCCGCTAAGTTTTATTATGTATAGTTTTTGTTTGTTACAGATTACAATACTCCTCGCAAAATGGTCTACACAATTGTATTTTTTGTATTAGCAACACTGCCACTTTTGAATTCAGAATACATTCCACCCGGTCCTGCATATTCATGCCCGAAGGAGACAACATTATTGTATCCCTGTATTTGTGAGAAAGGAACAGATTCAGGGCTGTATATACGTTGTGAAAATGCAGGTTTGGCTCTTATCAGTGTGGGAATTGGCAACATAGCTGGTATGGGGTTGCCAATAGAGAGACTGTTGCTGAAGGAATGCAAATTTAGTAAGTTTAGTATTACGGTTTGTTTAGTACATTATTTCATATTTAACAAAATTTTCCATAATTTATTAATTCACAGACAACCCAAACGCTAAGCCATTGAATGTAGAGGTTTTAAATGTGCAGGAAATAATACTTCTGTTTGTGGAATATAATAGTGTTTTACATAATATTATTTTCTCCATTCACCTACCTATGCAACTAATAAATAAAATATTCAATAAAATTTCATTGTCTATTACAGCAAACCTCTTTGGCTCATTACTCCATAGATCGACTGTACGTATCTTGGAGATAGTGGACACACCTATTACGAGCATTGAAGAGTATGCTTTTGCCGGTGTAAATAGAACATTGCAGGAGATATACTTGACAAATACCAAGATCATCGATTTTCCTAAGGAGGCTTTTAAGGTATGATCCTGTATTCAAATGTGCCGTGCTATTTTAAATATTTTTTATTAGAGTTCTGTGCTAATCTAGAGATTTTCTATACAAAAAGACAGATTCAATCCATATCAAGTCATATACTACACAGCTAAGTACTGATCCTGAGCTTTATATACATAGACAGTCACATACACCTAAATAAAAGGTTTATACTTTACAATCTTCAAGTTCCTTAGTGCTCCAAAGGTATTACAAAAGACATTTAAAGGTTAAGGAATGAGATTCCCAAAAAAGAAAATGGATGTTTAGCATTATAAAAAAAAATAATACTTATATCAGATTTATCTAAGACATCGTATATAAAATTATTCCCGGAAAAATATTTGATTTCGAATCAAATTCAACAGTTTTATGATACCGAATGACCGATGCTGCATTCAGTTTTTTTTTATTGCTTGATGGGTGGACGAGCTCACAGCCCACCTGGTGTTAAGTGGTTACTGGAGCCCATAGACATCTACAACGTAAATGCGCCACCCACCTTGAGATATAAGTTCTAAACTGCTGTCTTTTACATCTCTAGTAAAAATCCTCTCTGCTGTTTCAGATCTTGGGTAACCTTTCAGTATTGTCTATTGATGGACACCAAATGACTAAATTGAGTAAGGACATGTTCGCCGGCAGTGAAGCAGTGGGCAAACTGGAGAGATTACACCTTGTCAACGGCTTAATATCTGATATACCCATAGAAGCTTTTCAGGTTTGCTCCTTTATTTTATGAACTAGCATTTGCCCGCGACTTCGTCCGCGTGGGATAGTTCACAAATGATGCTTTATCATAAAACAAATTTGGTTAGCATAAAAAACGTTATAGTGAGCCAACCATAACATATAGACATATATTTTACTGGTGGTAGGACCTCTTGTGAGTCTGCGCGGGTAGGTACCACCACCCTGCCTATTTCTGCCGTGAAGCAGTAATGCGTTTCGGTTTGAAGGGTGAGGCAGCCGTTGTGACGTAGTACGTAGTACGTACGACGTGTGTAGATGTCTATGGGCTCCAGTAACCACTTACTACCAGGTGGGCTGTGAGTTCGTCCACCCATCTAAGCAATAATAATAAAGTAAAAAAATGCTGTCGCGGACTTTTTTTAGACCTTTAAAGGGGGAACAATTCTGTCATACATTATTTTAGCGAAACTTTAACCGTTTCTGCAGCGCACGCAGCGGAAGCTCTCAAAAGGGAAAAAAACCCGATTTTGAAACATTCTTTATTGGTGTTCCGCTTGCATTGGTCTTAGCGAGATGTTATATAGCCTATAGCCTTCCTCAATAAATGGGCTATCTAACACTGAAACAATTTTCAAATCGGACCAGTAGTTCCTGAGATTAGCGCGTTCAAACAAACAAACTCTTCAGATTTATAATATTAGTACAGATGTGAAGTTAAGTGACATTTAAAACCCTCCAAACCAATGTCTTATCTTTGAAACCGGATTGCATTGCCACAGAAATAGGAAGGATGGTAATGTCCATGGTGGGATAACGCCCTACCACCAGTGAGTATGATATTTGTTGGTGTTTTTATTTACAACACAATATCAGGATGACTTGTAAAAGGTAGCCATCAAGAAATAGATGAGGGGGCCGAAGATCCAGGGTCAGTGGTGTAATTTGAGAGATATTTGTGGTCCAGCAGTGGCCTGTGGACTAATGATGATGATGATATTGTTTCAGAACCTGCGTAAGTTAAAGAAGTTAGATCTGCACGGAAACAGGCTTGTGACCTTGAAGAAGAATCAGTTCAAGGGACTCCGGGACACCGATGTCTTGGATTTGAGGTGATATATCTATACTAATATATAAATCTACAGTAGTTTTTACGGATGTTCCGTTATAACTACTGAACCGTGCATCCGATTGACTTGAAACTTGGTATCCATGTAGAAAATACATGTACTTAATGGATAGGCTAATATTTATATGAGTGTTGGACTCCCTGCACCAGTTGCGGGGGCGTTGATAATGAGAATCTTTGTGGGGGTGAGAAATAATAATGTTAATTTTAAATGCCCAGCGAAGCGGTCGGGTACAGCTAGTACATATATAAATATGTGTTTCGTTGCATAAAGGTGTGAACGGGCTAACTGCTCACCTGATGTTAAGCGGTTACCGCCGAATGTCCCCACTAATTTAAGAAATTAGCAGCAAGCCTCCGGACCAAAGCTCACGATTGCTTCTCCACGAAATAAACAGGATTGGAATACTGATCCGTCTGTTTTTTCTTTTCTTTATTCTTTATTTGTACACACAGTTAATATAATACAGTAATTGCGATAAGATCTAAAAAATGGCGAGCTGAACTCAACAATTGAGTTATCTACCAGCTAACCGTTCTTAAAGAAGGAAAGCTTTACATGAGTGGGTAGATGAGTACAATCTAATCAATTTACTTATTGATACAATACACAATACAAATAATAAAAATAAACACTAATACATAATTTATCAGACTATATACATACACAATTACACACATAAATAACATAAACATACACGTACATATATAATGAAATACATAAAATAAATACATATAAGTAGTCTTTTTTAAATGTCTGGGTTCCGGTGAAATTCAGTTATAGTTGTGATCATCGCTCATAGTACCACCGATTTGCGATAGATGGCGCGCTTGTTACCTCAGCAGCACTGAGCATATTTGTGGCAGCACACATTTATCGTTTTTTACTGGTCGCAGGACCTCTTGTGAGTCCGCGCGGGTAGGTACCACCATCCCGCCTATTTCTGTTGAAGGGTGGGGCAGCCGTTATAACTATACTGAGACCATAGAACTGATATCTCAAAGTGGGTGGCGCATTTACGTTGTAGATGTCTATGGACTCCAGTAATCATTTAACACCAGGTGGGCTGTGAGCTCGTTCACCCATCAAAGCACAATTCGTGTCCCAATTTTCAGTCACAACAATATCACGAGGCTGGACGGCACTCACATCGGGGACCTGACCAAGCTGGGCTGGTGCAACGTCAGCCACAACGACATCAAGGAAATACCCCGGTAAGTTCTCGCGGCGTCCCCCCCGGTGTACTCAGTGCGAGTTTTTTAACGTTCTCGATAGCGTAAAAGTTAACTCTGATTTGTATGGAGTTGGAACAGCGCCCCTAGCGGCAAACGTACGCAAACGATCCCGTTCCATAATCAAATAAAAAAAAAAAAAAAATTCAATATAAATGAAAGTACATACTTGTTGAACGTCAAAAGAACTACCGCCATTTCACAAGAACTAGCCTCTGTCCTGAGAAGAACTGGCAAGAAACTCAGCGGGCATATCTTTTTTATTTTTTAATAATTTTTTTAATAGTAGATTTTTATTAATAAATCATTTTTACAATGAGTTATAACGTATACATACAAATATGAGCTAACTTTTACGCTATCGACAACGTTAAAAAACTCGCACTAAGCACACAGTCCTGGCCAGTCCCGGCACAGGGGACCGCTGAGGACCACGACACCCCGGTCATCCGTGACTGCGGAAATGTCGGATCTAAAGTAGTTTGTTTAATATAGTATTTTAGGTAATTAATTTCATGGCGTCACCACGTCAACGGCCGTCTGGTGTAGTGGTAAGTGACATGGTCACTACACAAGGTGATCGCGGGTTCGGATCCCGCCAAGGGAAGATATTTGTATAATAAATATAAATGTCTTTTCCAGGGTTATGGATGTATATTAAATATATGTATGTGTATAATAAAAATCTTACATTTATTTCCGTTATCTGGTACCTGTAACACAAGTTCTTTATGAACTTATCACGGGACCAGTTTACGTGGCGTGATTGTTAGTAAATATTTATTATTTATTTATTACCACTGCGTGCGCGTGAAAGAGATGGCGAGATGTTTCGGTTACCATTGCTCGCTTCCAACATCAATGGTTATTTCGTATTACAAGTAATAGTCGTTTTTTAATGCGTATCGTATAATATAACAAAGAAACAGCTATTTACATGAATAATAATAATAACCGTCATCACGTAGACTATACTTAGTCTGGCCATAAATACTGTTACAATTTAAAAAAAAAAGAAAGAGAAAGGTATTATAGACTACTCGCTTGTGTATACGACTGTCGCGCCTGCGCACGTCTCATTTAACGGTTTTATTCCACGGACTTTTTCTTACGGTTTTACTATCATATTTTTTTCAGTTCGGTCGCGCAGCAAAATCCCTATCTCCTCCAAGCCTGCCGTAAGGGACTTCGTTCCAATCATTGTTGTGAATTAAAACAGAAACCAAAAGTTGCACGATGCTACAGCTCCTTACAAAACAAAATCTTTCCTAGTGTACCTACCTTACATATTCTAAGTCCACACGGGTAGATGCCACTATCCTGCCTACTTATGCCGCAAAGCAGTAATGCGTTCCGATTCTAAGACTCGGTCAGCCGTTGTACTGTTCTGTAGATCGTCACATACCCCGCGTGCCCCCTAGGCGTGGGGACCTCGTAGGAGGTTCGACCCCTGCCCGAAAAAAAAAGCCGTTGCAGTATATGATTCAGACTAAGGCCTCATGTCTCAAGGTATACGTAACGCATTTTCAGCTTAATAAGTAAAAAGGTTTATTGTCAATCTTATGACTTTGATAAGTGCATTGATGTGTATGCAACATCCATGGGTGAGTTGTTATGATGGTGATATGGTAAACAGTCGACGTCGCCCTAAACGCGTCATTTCAGACCCTCCGATAACGGTGCATTTAGGTACATCAAGCACCGATCATCGTTCTCGTCGAACCCGTTCCTTGCGACGCAGGGCTCGACGAGTAAATTAACCCACAGACACAGCCCGCTGAGTTTCTCGCCGAATTTTCGCAATGGGTCGCGTTTCCGACCCGGTGGTAGATTCTGCGAAGAACTTGTTAGGGCTAGTGTTAGCAACGTCACTAGGCTAGAGCCCCGTGAGCTCTCCTACTAGTTCTGTGAATCTGTGTGGTAGTTTTTTAATGGAGAACAAAGTTTGTCACAGAGCGGTACAGCTTCATTGGTGGCAGGACCGACGCCCCCCCGGAGTTGGTGCCATTGCTAAAAATCGCGGAGCGCCCATCCACCATCGTTTGCAGGGTGGTCGTTGCTCTGAAGCAACTGAGCGATTCCACTACTCGATGTTGCCAACGGTGGCATATAAATCACAATCTGTAATTTACAAAAATCACTTCTCTTTTTGAAGTGAAACTTCTTTAGAATCGTTGTGATTTCAAACTAGATGAAACGAAATAATAAGTCCATAGAGACACAAACACATAAATGTATAGGATTCAGCCGGCGAGAGAACGAGATAGAACACATTAGACGTTCTCAATGTAGTTTTTTTTAATACAGCGCCATCTGTGAGATTTTTTAATACTAACGTGTGTATGAAACCTCTTGTAGTGAATTTTAATTTAGGATTATACGTGAAGTTAAAATATCAATTCACAGAGGGCGCTACCTCATACTATAAAAGATGATTTACAATTATTTACTAATGAAAAATTTTACATATACTTTAGGACATTTAGACATTTAGGATAATTGTATTTTAATTTTTGAAGGTTTCACTTCTACCATGTGTGAATTGACCACATGTTTTTTTTTTGTTGCCTCATCTCTATGTATAACCTCGCTGCCTAACTTGTTTTCAGATTATTTTTTTCCAGAAAATTTATACTGTCATTCTTCTGTGGCTATTGAAGGCCAGACTTTTCAGTTTATGGTAAGTGGTTACCGTCGCTTATGGATCGTAGCGACGCGGCTGCCCTTATAGACACTACAAACTTCACTTGAAGAAGCACCCGACAGCGCTGCGACCGTGGAGTGGAGACCCCACTGCTGGATGGGGTGCGGGGACAGGTTGAAGTGACGAGGCTCTCTGGTTGGTAGAACGGAGACAAAGGTATCACCCCAATGGGTTTTTCAAACCCCTCCGTGGAACTCACGATACAGATCACAGGGTAAACTAAAGTACAAAAGCAACAGACAAACCTTATGTTTCATTTCGAATGTCTACTTAAAGTATGCGGCGACAAAAAATGCGCCACTCATCCTACTTTGCCCTAATTATTTGGTCGGTTTTTATGGCACTTACCCACAAAATTTTAACTAAGTCACTATAAGGGGAATGTTTTGGCAAATTAATTTGAACCACAATGTAACATGCCAGTTGGAACTCAAAGCGCGTTGTCTCTGAGGCCGGTTTTAACAAAAGCCCCACAGTTTTGGGAAGATCTGGCGAAATAAAACGTCATGGCTTGTCCTAATCTAACTTGTTCTTTTAAACGTATATCAACACTACATTATAAGTTGCGAATAGAAAATACAATAGGAATAACTGAATGAGGCGGTCCGGAGCGAGCCTCGTGTTCCCGCACCGTACCGTCTGTTAAGTGACCATTGACTTTATAATATGCCTAACAGCACGAATGTTCCCAATAGGTTCTTTGACCCATGTATAAGTCTTGTGTCTGGTATCAAGGGTAAGCCTTTGAAAAGATTAAGTCCTTGGGAGTTCACGGAGCTATTTCGTTGTTTATTCCAGGGGAATGTTCGCGAGGAACAATCTACTGAAAGTCCTGCATTTGGACAATAATAAATTGAAGAAATTGGACACGAACAGTTTCCGAGGAATGAGGTTTCTGAGGTACGGGTTTTTGTTTTCGCAGGGTAACTGCGATAAACCGCCCCGCGGGTCGGTCTTTCGTTCTAAGGACAGCCCGGGACTAATATATATGAAATGGTCAAACTTTTTTTTTATTGCTTAGTTGGTTGGACGAGCTCACGGTCCATCTGGTGTTAAGTGGTTACTGGAGCCTATAGACATCTATGACGTAAATGCGCCACTCACCTTGAGATATAAGTTCTAAGGTTTCAAGTATAGTTACAACGGCTGCCCCACCCTTCAAACCGAAACGCATTACTGCTTCGCGGCAGAAATAGGCGGGCCGGTGGCACCTACCCGTGCGGACTCACAAGAGGTCCTACCACCAGTAATTTTGCAAATTATACTTTTGCGGGTTTCATTTTTATTACACGATGTTATTCCTTCACCGTGAAAATCAATCGTGAACATTTGTTGAGTGCGTATTTCATTAAAAAAATTGGTACCCGCCTGAGATTCGAACACCGGTGCATCGCTCAACACGAATGCACCGGACGTCTTATCCCTTAGGCCACGATGACCTCAAAATCTATTAGTTGCTTTTCATCACGTCTGTCAGAAGAGTTGATGTCGGTACTATTATTCGAAGGCACACCCGAAATTCGTTGATCCTTACTAAATCATTTCTTCTACAGGCGTTTGTTCCTTCAAGACAATCAGATCTCGGATATAGGCAGGGGGACCTTCTCGGCCGTGACCAGAATAGGCACCGTGGACCTGGCGAGGAATAAAATCAAGAAAATCGACTATCAAATGTTTCAATCGGTCAAATTTGCTGACGTGAGTATCGTCTGGTCTAGGGATGCTCAGCTCCGTAGGGGATGATGTCATATGCCCACCGCTGGGACTCCTGATACTGATGGACATGAGAGTTGCCCACAGATTCCGCGCTGTTTATGGTTTTGACTACGAAGAAAACATCGTCCAAGGAACAGAGATCCAACGCGAGTCTGTCTTGTAAATGCTGTTAGCGCGAGTCAGCTTCTAGAAGGATCTCTTCTTCGACACCTTGCATACTGTAGATTCCTGCATTTCAGATAGTTGGTACTGCGCTTCATACTGGCTCCATACCATACTATTATTGAAATATATATATTTATTGCTTAGATGGGTGGACGAGCTCACAGCCCACCTGGTGTTAAGTGGTTACTGGAGCCCATAGACATCTACAACGAAAATGCGAGATCCACCTTGAGATATAAGTTCTAAGGTCTCAAGTATAGTTACAACTTCTGCCCCACCCTTCAAACCGAAACGCATTACTGCTTCAAGGCAGAAATAGGCAGGGCGGTGGTACCTACCCGCGCGGACCCACAAGAGGTCCTACCACCAGTCGCTCCCGCAGCTGACACCAAACGCGTTCCGCAGACGATAAACTTGGCGGAGAACGAGATAACCGTGATCGAAGCCCAGGCTTTCACGGACCTATATCTGGCGACGGTGAACGTCTCTCACAACCAGCTCTCGAAGATCGAACCGAAGGCCTTCCAGAACTGCAACAACCTGACCGTGCTGGACTTGCGCTACAACAACCTGACGGTCATCGATAGGAGCGCCTTCGACGAGAACACATACGCGTATGAATTGAATGTCGCCCACAACCACATCACGGATTTCAGTCAGGTGAGTTTGAATAGAGACGGAAATGTAGCAAATAGGCAGAGGTTTGACTGTCACCCTGGCGTTGCTGACGCCCATCAGTGACGGTAACCACTCACCATCGAGTGGGCCGTACGCTCATCTGAGGATCTGAGGAGTACTGAGGATCTCGAGTGCACGTATGTAAGTCTTTCCATGAGGATCGATCGGCTTTTGGATGCTGTCTCCAACAGTCCTCTCAATAATGTCTGACCATCTTGTTAGTGCTCTGCCTTTGGCTATTTTCTTCTCCGCTCGTCAGCTTACTAAGGTAATGAAAAAAAAAAACTTAACGGTACTGTTTTTGCTTGTTTAAAGATTTAATTTGTAATCAATGGTAAGGACCCTCCTAACCCCCTAAGGACACTCCTTACGGTTACCATTGCGTCTCGGTCGGGGTCATATTTTCTGTTTCCAGCAACCAAAACTGTAGAATAATCGTTTCCGACCTCAAGCCTCAAGGCGTACCGCAGAATTTAACCCGTAGTATAGACTATAGTAGAATTATTTTGTCCGTGCAGCTTGGGTCATAAAGCATAGCCCGGCTAGGGCGGTGGGCATGTTGTGCGGGCGCAACGCCATTATCGATTAAAAAACGGAGTCATCGAAGGCAGGTATACGGCGGCGGGGTGGTATACGACTGGTGGTGAGACATTGTTATGTTAAGAGTCATTTGTCGAAGTCACATTATGTCGAAGAGTAATGTGTTTTTATGCATTCGTTCTCTGAATTTCTTTAGTGACACAATGGATACTCCTTTGTTTTGTATCAAAACGGCAGAATTTATTCAAAATAATATTTGCACGTGTTGCACGTGTATCAACAATATGTTAAAATGTTTCACTGAAATAAGAATAAATCCCGAAAAGTTAAAAAGCGTTAATTTCTGCCGTTCTCGTTAACTTGCTGCGGCGATATGTGGCGTAAGTGTTTGATTAGTGATTCTTTATTTCATTTTTATCACTAACCCACAAAATTACGAAACTAAATACACTATAGATAACGCTTATCGACAACAATAATGCGCATCACTATGCCCGTCCATAAGGCTCGTGAGTGGAAGAGAAAACGAAATACTCGCTTCACCGCTCCGATTTTTTATGACCCAAACTGCACGGACAAAATAATTCAACTATAATTAAACAACACGAATTCGAAGTCCGTACTGTTGTCCCCCGACAGATCCCCATACAGAACATGACGGGCATAAGGATCTTGAACGCGACCTTCAACCAGATCACCGGGATACCGAAAGCGGCGTTTCCCAAACTTTACGAGCTCCACACCGTCGATCTGTCACACAACAACATCAGCGACATCTTTAATGCGGTCTTCCAGAACCTGTTCTCCTTGAGGTGAGTAGTCCCCGGTGGCTGGGTACGGCCGGTGTGTAGCGCGAAGCACCGGTGGTAGGCCATATTGAGAGCTCGCACAAGGGGACAGCACTATTCCCCCCTATTTCTGTTCCGAAGCAGTCATCCGTTTTGGTTTAAAAGGTGGGACAGTCGATACCCAATCCCAGCTATTGAAGTTTCAATCGAAGGACATGAGGCTGGTCAGTGGTGTCTCTTTTCGGGTTAGGGGGATACGAAGGATGCCGTGACCGATCTCCACGCTTTCACCGACATAAGACCGTCGTAAGACGCGTCGATACGCGACCGCCGCGAGCGAGCGAATGACTCACCGAAGTGTGGCCAGTCGATGTGCATATTCGCCTTATTCGTGACCTTTGAAGTACGTCAAAAAGCCGATAAGTCGGCGGATACGAGTTTTGGTTATTCGTGCGTATGTGTTATGCGTACGAATAAAGTGAATATTGGCGAATGTACCTTCCACACTTCGCCGTATGCGCCTTTTTTTCCCCCACCTAAGCTGATAGTCTAGAGGACCGTCGCCGGGCTGGTAGATGAGCTCACGGGGCTCAATCCGGGAGTGTTGCCAACACTGGCCCTAGCAAGAACAGTACTTCGCAGAATCTACCCCCGGATCGGAAAGGCGACTCACCGAGAAGATCCGGCGAGAAACTCAGTGGGCTGTGTCTGTGAGTTAATTTACTCGTCAAGCCCTTCGTCGCAAGCGACGGGTTCGACGAAAACGATGACCGGAGCGGATTTTTACTGGTGGTAGGATCTCTTGTGAGTCCGCGCGGGTAGGTACCACCACTCTGCTTATTTCTGCCGTGAAGCAGTAATGCGTTTTGGCTTGAAGAGTGGAGCAGCCGTTGTAACTGAGACTGAACTCATATCTCAAAATGGGTGTCGTATTTACGTTGTAGATGTCTATGGGCTCCAGTAACCATTTAACATCAGATGGGCTGTGAGTGAATTGCCCGCATAACGAATAGCGAATAACGCAGTGTGGTTCCGGCATTTTTTTGTAGATTCGTGAATTTGAGCCACAACAGCTTGGAGCGCATAAAACCCGCCATGTTCGGCACACTACCCACCGTCTTGGAGCTGGACCTGTCGCACAACCTGCTGAGCGACGTGTCAAGGGGCGGGCTCGCCAAGCTGGCCAGCTGCCGCCTCCTGGACATGAGCCACAATCAACTGGAGAAGATATTCCAGATACCCATCAGTCTGGGGTGAGCGTCTGTTTTGTTATTCGAAATTGTTTCATATTGTTCACAACTTAAAGTCGAAAATTGCATAGCATATTGACAAATATTTCCAAGGTTCACATCTGAGAGTTTGATAATCTATCTATATGTATAAAAATGAATTGCCGTTCGTTAGTCTCGCTAAAACTCGAGAACGGCTCGACCGATTTGGCTAATTTTGGTCTTGAATTATATTTGTGGAGGTCCAGAGAAGGCTTAAAAGATAGATAAATATGAGAATGCTCGGAATTAAATAAAAATAATAATTTTGTTTTCCGTTTTGATGTGTCCCCCGTCGGACGGATTCATTTTGTTTGTTTTAAGTTTATTTTATACAAAAGCTTAGGTCTTTTATTTATCGATTGAGGCACTACGAAGTCTGCCGGGTCAGCTAGTTGATTCATAAATAATTTAGAGTCAATCGTTACAATAGATTTAATTTCAATAATCTAAATAGGATAAAAGAGAGGAATATATTAAATAGCTATTTCAAGAACCGGTTCACTAGTAGCAGTAGCTACATATGACGTCATGTATTGTGATTGGCTTTACGCGATCTTTAATATATTGGATATTAACAGATTATATTTAGCGAAGTAATTATTTAGTATCATTAAAGTTTCACAAGTACCATATTAGTGAAACCGTTTTCATATTGCGTTGAGGGGACCAATAATATGACACAATAATCTCCCATATAACACGGTGGATTGGTTCTGCGCTATGAGTCCTAAGGTCTCAGTATAGTTACAACGGCTGCCCTTCAAACCGAGACGCATTACTGCTTCACGGCAGAAACAGGCGGGGCGGTGGTACCTACCCGCGCGGACTGACAAAACGTCCTACCACCAGTAATTATGCAAATTATAATTTTGCGGCTTCGATTTTATTAAACGATGTTATTCCTTCACCATAGAAGCCAATTTTGGATGTGGAAACTCAACCGGCACAATGTATCAGGTTGTTTAGTCGGCGTCCTATTGATTATGTGGGTACATTGAGATAATGTCTGTTCCAGCGAATTGAACATAGCGCATAACAATCTGAGAGAGATAAAATCGAACACGTGGCCTTCGATGAACGCTCTGCTGCGTCTCAACCTGTCGGCCAACATGCTCGGCGACATGCTCGCCAGCGACAGCTTCTCCAGTCTGCTGACCTTGCAGACTCTGGACTTATCATCGAACGGGCTCACCAGACCGCCGTGGGAGGCCCTGAGCAGTCTGACGAGCTTGCAGTATATATATATGCAGGTGTGATTTCTTTTTATTGCCCTTATAGCCAGACGAGCATACGGCTCATCTGACGGTGAGTGATTACCGTTGCTTGTGGATGTCAGTAATGTTAGGAGCAGGACTTAGAACTTATATCNGCAGACTCTGGACTTATCATCGAACGGGCTCACCAGACCGCCGTGGGAGGCCCTGAGCAGTCTGACGAGCTTGCAGTATATATATATGCAGGTGTGATTTCTTTTTATTGCCCTTATAGCCAGACGAGCATACGGCTCATCTGACGGTGAGTGATTACCGTTGCTTGTGGATGTCAGTAATGTTAGGAGCAGGACTTAGAACTTATATCTCAAGGTGGGTGGCACTCTAGTAACCACTTAACACCAGGTGGGCTGTGAGCTCGTCCACCCATCTAAGCAATAAAAAAAAAGGAATTGCCATAATGTAGTTTGTATACTATTGTTAACTTAAATGTCGTAATAACAAAATTGAGTTTTATTCAGAACTTCGCTGAAGAGTTTTCTTTATTTTGAGCTCCAGACGTTATCAGTGTCATGTCAATAGAAAAAACCAGGTTAAATCGTAAAAGTACTTTCTAATTGCATCCAGTATGTTTAGTGCGAGTCTTTTAACGTTCTCGATAGCGTAAGAGTTAACGCAAATTTGTATGTAACTAGAGAGTTTGCCTACGTTTGCCGCTAGGGGCGCTGTTCCAATTCCATACAAATTTGAGTTAACTTCAACACTAATCATACCAACGCTTACTGGTACCTATTTCTACTATAGTGGGTATATAACAGTATACGACAAGTATTACTCAAAATAAAACAACAACAAAAAGAATTAAACTTATATATATTTTACTGGTGGTAGGACCACTTGTGAGTCCGCACGGGTAGGTACCACCGCCCTGCCTATTTCCGCCGTGAAGCAGTAATGCGTTTCGGTTCGAAGGGTGGGGTAGCCGTTGTAACTATACTGAGACCTTAGAACTATATCTCAAGGTGTGTGGCGCATTTACGTTGTAGATGTCTATGGGCTCCAGTAACCATTTAACACCAGGTGGGCTGTGAGCTCGTCCACACATCTAAGCAATAAAAAAAATAAAATAACTGTCGATTAATTGGTAAGAAAAAGTCATGAAAAAAACACAGTCAATGTCAACGTCACACAAACAAAGTCATGAAAAAAACAGAAACAAAAGTTCAAAATGGGCCATTTGACCCGTTATGGTATGTTTAGTGCTAACGGTGTCGAGAACGTTAAAAGACTCGCACTAAGCACACTGGACTCTCGGAAACCGTAGAGAATACTATAAGGGTATTTTCAGGATAACAATCTGACGTCACTAAGCAAGTCGTCATTTGGAAACCTGCCCACGCTATTCGCGCTGGACCTGTCGCGCAACGCCATAGCTTCCGTGGAGCGCCGCGCTTTCAATGGCCTGCAGCAGCTACTGGACCTCAGGCTATCAGGGAACCAACTGGAGCACGTCCCCAACGAGGCCTTTAAGGGCCTGGTGGCGCTCAGGTGCGGATACCAGCTCCATACCAGCCCAGGATAGGTTCTATGGGATCCTCGTGATCCACTATCGGTGCTTTTAGGCTCTCCAAGCACCGTTCTCATCTAATGAAAAGCTCGACTTGCCACCCAGCGGTTAGATACGGGAGAAAAGTTATCGCGTCGACCTGTGTTGTGGACGCCAAGCTGGTTATAGCATCCCATTAATCATATTGTACCTTTATATTTTAATGCGTACTGGCTTTTAGCAGTGTTTGTAATGCACAGTCTAATGAAAATGACAATGAGGCTGTTAAGAGAGTTTTAGCTATGTATGTGGAAGGCTTTAGAGGAAGAGGTAGACTTATGAAATAATGGATGGATTGCGTGAAAGACGATATGATAGAGGAGTATGGAAGGAGAAATCATGTTGCGCCGACCTCAGGTAACTGGGAGAAGGGGAGGAGAGTGAAGATGATGTAATGCACAGTCCAGTAGAGCCCTCCTGGTCCGCTGTGGGCTCTCGACCAGACCTCCCCAGCTACCTCTACTACAGAACTACTTTCTGTCCGGTCGCTAACATATCCTCACCCGTATACCTGTTCACGTTGCCTTCAAGTCCTCACCTCGCTTGCAGGAAGCTCGACCTGTCTCACAACTTACTGGAGAAGATTGACAACAAAACAAACGGACTCCTGGACGACTGTCTGTCCTTGGAGACGGTGAGCGCTTGTACACTGTTTATACGAGATGCGAGTACATTGCTGGCTGCCGACCGGAAGTTCACGTGGCGACTGCATATGCTGCTCATTGGATTCGTAACGAGGGCCTATTAAGCACAACGCCCGGGCTAATCGTATCGATCTTGCTACCAGGCACACATTGTTCTAGTGAACTACGTGCTTTCTCATGTTGCTCATTGCGCAGTCGTTCAACACAGTTACATACGTGACACTACTATCGTCTCTTCTTTCACTAAAATAAAAGAAAATTTTCAAAGTCCACTGGCGGATGGGGTCAACGACCTTGCACACTTCCTCAAACATTACCGTCTGTATGTTGGCCTAATTGGTGTTACCGTGGTCCACAGGCATCACGAAGTGAGCCTCTCCGCCCTAATGAAGACGGAGTCTCGACGACCTCAATCTCCCCTGTGCAAACAAGGACTTTCAATTCAAAATTCAAATTCAAATTCAAATTAATTTATTTCAACTTGGGTGTCATCAAAAACACACTTGTTGAATGTCAAAATACAAATAACAATGTTAACTCTACCACCGGTTCCAAAAAAGCCACAGTCCTGAGAAGAACCGGCGAAACAAACTCAGCGGGCTTTTTTTTTTTTTTTTCTCAAAATTTTTTTTTTTTAAATAAATAGAAATATTCACAATAAAAGAAAAAACAAGTCTAAAAAAATAATAATAATAATGAAAAATGAAAAGGCCAGGAGCGAGCGCCTCATTCCCACGTAGTGCCATCTAGTAAATAATCCTTAACTTTATAATATGCCTTGTTGCACAAACGTTCCTTGACAGTTTTCTTAAATCTATGAACAGGTAGTAGTTGAACGTTTAGTGGGATCTTGTTGAAAAGCTGTACACCCAGCCCCCTAAAAGNAATCCTTAACTTTATAATATGCCTTGTTGCACAAACGTTCCTTGACAGTTTTCTTAAATCTATGAACAGGTAGTAGTTGAACGTTTAGTGGGATCTTGTTGAAAAGCTGTACACCCAGCCCCCTAAAAGAGTTGCTTATTTTCTTAATTCGAGCCGCCGGCAACGCAAGCCTATGTTTGTTCCTAGTGTTCACATTGTGCAAATCCATTGTATTCCCGCTAAAGACCATTCATTCACTTTAATTAAATATTATGATCTCTGAATGCAGTTTTTCCTCACCTGTCTTCTCTTACTGTCGTCTTTCATTCTTCCTTTTCCTCTTCATCACCTTGCTCCCTCCTCCAAACACGTGAAAGTTGTTCTACCTAGACGTTGTGCTGGTCTACGTAGCCGCTATCGCAAAGCACATACCAAGTCCCGTTCTCAGGTCAACCTGAGCCACAACAACATCGGCTTCCTAACGAAGAAGATGTTCCCGGCGAGCCCCTGGATCCCGTACAGACTGTCGGAGATCGACCTGAGTCACAACTCGCTGGCGGTCGTCACGCACGACATAACGGTGGGCGCGGGGCGCGTGCGGAGGCTGAGTCTGGCCGGAAATTACATCAACGACATCAGGAACAGTACGTGACGGTGATGGGCTGCGCGTAGCGGAGCCATAACGTCGGATGTATCTCACACTAAAAGCCCTTTCCTCTTATCCGGCGCTTTAAGTTCGATCTATGGCCTGGAACTAAAAGGGCCAAAGTCATATATATCTTGAAAATGTATGCTAAGAACTCTTTAGTTTTCTAAAAAGGATTTTTCTTCTATGTCTTTCAATGAAGTGTGAAATTCAGTAAAAAGAAAGGTCAGTTTGCTTAAAATATTAATTTTATTAGATTAAGGGCTTTAAATATTGTTTTCTCATTACATACATATAAAAGAAAACGCAATTAAGCCTTTTATTTTTTATCTACTCGGGAGTATCCAATATCATTATATGTATGATATTGTTTTTGCTAAAGTTCGTCGAAGATATTTCAAAAGCTGCCACCTAAAAAAGCTCAATGCGAGGTGCGCCTTCGTACTATTTGCTTGGTGATGGCTTATTGTCTTCTTGAATGCTAAATACCAAAACAAAATTGTTAGTGATATTGGCCCTATCGGCGCCGGACCACAGATATATAATGGCATATCATTAAACCTTCCCTTTCTGAGCTTAATATGTTTCGATCGACAGATAATGTCTTAGGCATCAAATTTGCTTAGGTTTCCTGAATTGGCGGCCCCATGCCCAGCAGTGGGACCAAAGGTACCACATATACCAGGGTTCAAACTACTTTTGTACCGATTTTCATCAGAATTGGTTCAGCCTTAAAAACATCTGTTAACAATTAGTTTAACGATCTGTCTTTGCGCCAGATGTCCTGGGCAACCTGACCTCGCTGGAGACCTTGGACCTTTCGCGGAACAACCTCAAGGACTTAGTGTCTAAAACATGTGAGTACTTCTTCTTCTTGCTTCGGTTTCCTCAATACTGAGGGTCGTGACCACCTCCTCGCGACAAGAGCTTATTGCGATCCACGCCATTCGCCTCTATCTGCCGCCGAGTATTGAGCATCGTGAACTGTGTTGTCGAGGGTAGTGCGGATCTGGTCAGTCCAACGTGTCGGGCCTCTACCTCGTGGTCTTCTTCCGTGCACCTTGCCAGTCACCATTAGCTTCTCTAAGCTGCCGGGATCCTTTCTTGCAATGTGGCCAAAGTATTCCAGAACTCTACGTAGGCAGAGGGTAGAAAGCCTCGACTTTATCTGGAGTTCTTGGAGGATCGACACGTTGATGCGATGTGCTGTCCAGAAAATTCCTAGCATCTTTCGCCAGCACATGTGAGTACTCTTAGTGCGTAGTTGTAGGACGAGCTCATTTCCCGTCTGGTATTAAGTGGTTACCACTTCCAGCGTCTGAATTGTATAAAAACATCACCCTTCCATTACTGACTAGTGATCTCGCGGTAATCTGAATTCGACTATAATTAATTGAAATTATAAGTTTGAACATTATTATGGTTATATTGTCAAAGACTATTTATTATACTTCTATAATCACAGATTTCGCCAAGACTAAACTATATGCAAATAATATTAAAGATAAACAATTGGGGTGCCTGGTAATATAATAATATGTATATAAATATTTTATGAACGGATATGAGTAGAAGGGTTATTTTGATAATATCCTGAAAAGCACCCCACGCTTTTTTATAATAAAATCATTTTTCCCTATTTTTAATTCAAATTTATTAAAATTTATTTTCTATTTTTTAGTTGGATCTTCTAAAAAAGCGTATCTTATTAGTTTATTTAAAATATTATCTATTACGTTTTCGTTTTGTTAGTGAGCCGCCTCAAAAACTAGATCACAAATGATTATTTAAAAGTCGATTTTAATCCATTGATTTAAGGTGTATTTCTCGAAGTCCGAGCAGCTGGTCTAAGCTCGTCCACTCGGCTGAGACGATAAATACATAAGTAAAAAATACTAATTTCTTTTTAATAGCGGAAATGAAATTCTCTTTCCCCGGGAACATAACGGAACTGTATCTCAACGACAACGAGCTAGAGGATCTCCCGGTCAAGGAGCTGATGAAGGCTGACAAACTGAAGGTTCTGGACGTCAGGGGCAACCGGCTGACCAGCTTCGACCCCCGGCTGGTCGCGAGGGTCCGAGACCGGAGCTTGCAGGTCTACTTCGAAGGTTATTGTCGTTCTCATTATAGAGGGACCGCGTGGGAGGGCGCCACCGTCCCGCCTGAAGCAGCACTGATTCACAGAGGACATCCGACAATACTGTTACACGCTGGGGCTCGGGATAAGTAAAACTTTCACCGAAGTATAATAATAATAATACACATCAGAGAAAATTCTTATTTTTATTTAATTACGAGCATTTTCATATTTATCTACCCTTTAAACCATCTCTGGACTTCCACAAATAATTCAAGACCAAAATTAGCCAAATCGGTCCAGCCGTTCTCGAGTTTTAGCGAGACTAACGAACGGCAATACATTTTTATTTTATATTAGATAGTTTTAAAGAAAAACAATAAAATATTTCCTATTCTATTATTTCGTCATTTTCAATTTCAGGCAACACTTTGTTATGCGACTGCTTCGCTCGGCCCCTGAAGCATTACTTAAACAAACTGTCCCAGACGTACTTGCGCGGCGACGCTAAGTACTCAAACGTGAGCTGCGCTGAGCCTCCGAGCCTGGAGAACGTGAGCATATTGGACGTGGACGAGGAAAGGCTGCTGTGCGCTGGCAACATTGAGACCGACGAGAAGATAAAAGAATATGGCAACACCGCGGACGAGTCATTCGATTTCATAACGGAACCAGACTTGGCCTTCAGGGACATACAGTAGTAAGTTCACACAGTTTTTTTTATTGTTTAGATGTGTGGACGAGCTCACAGCCCACCTGGTGCTAAGTGGTTACTAGAGCCCATAGACAACTACAACGTAAATGCGCCACCCACCTTGAAATATAAGTTCTAAGGTCTCAAGTATAGTTACAACGGCTGCCTTACCCTTCAAACCGAAACGCATTACTGCTTCACGGCAGAAATAGGCAGGGCGGTGATACCTACCCGCGTGGACTCACAAGTGGTCCTACCACCAGTGATTACGCAAATTATAATTTTGCGGGTTTCATTTTTATTACACGATGTTATTCCTTCACCGTGGAAGTCAATCGTGAACATTTGTTGAGTACGTATTTCATTAGAAGAATTGGTACCCGCCTGCGGGATTCGAACACCGGTGCATCGCTACATACGAATGCACCGAACGTCTTATCCTTTAGGCCACGACGACTTTCGAGTTCTTTTGACGATGAATATTCCAGTTCCCAGGAGGCGATCTACGTGCACTGGTACGTGAGGTCGGCGGGGGATGTAGCCGACACGCAGCTATACGTGCGGGGGCAGGGGGGGGACGTGTTGCACGCCGCGCGCGCCCCCTACACCGCGCGCTCCTACACGGTCCCCCTCGACGCGGGGGTGCGAGGGGCGTTGGGGGGAGGCGGCGCGCTGTGCGTGCAAGCCGTGACGTCAGCGGGCGCGCCCCGACGCTGGTACCCCTCGCAGTGCCAACCAATAAACGGGCGTCTCCACCTATGGCCCAAGACGCTAAACGTGGATAAGCGGAGACTGTCCCGGCCCAGGGGACGCGCCACCAGCAGTGTCCTAGGACTCGTCAGCGACTCTATCCTGATCACGCTGTGCATATTCCTGGGGGTCTGTCTGAAGATAACCGACGTTGAGCTATGAGACCGGGACTACTCCCACGGCTGAACCTCGTGTTTGCGTCTGACTTCAATAATTGAGGTTATCAATTCGACTGTATTTATTGTGACGTGTCTCAAATCTTTTTTCTAGGTGAAGAAAGGATTTTTTGTTGTTTTTATTAATTTATTTGATGGTCTCTCGCGTAGTTCCTAATGCTATCCAAGAACCGACCGGCGATCCCAAGATCGCCCTCAATAATACAAATCCAACTGATTTCGATGACTATGACGATTTTCTAATTTAATTTCGGCTAAAAAGTGCTGCTATTCGTTGATTTTTTTTTTGTATTTTATGACCTGGTAACTAAGACCTTTAGGTCAAGTCTTATTTTAATCTTAATGATAACTTTTTTATAATATGAAATATGATATTATGAAATGATTTTTTTTTATTACCCATGTAGGCAGACGAGCATACAGCTCACCTGATGGTGAGTGGTTACCGTCGCCCATGGGCTTCAGCAATGCCAGGAGCAGAGCCAAGCCGCTGCCTACCGCTTAATACTTTCCACAAGCCTCGTTTGAAGAAGGACATGTCATAGCGCTCGGGAACCACCGTGGTGGGGAGCTCATTCCATAGCCGGAAATGAATTTGATTATAATGAAACATGACATGAAATGAAAGCGAAACGAAATGAGATGATATGGGATGAAGTATAATCTCAGTAAAATGGTGGTCATTTACTGAGACTTTTTCAATTGACTTTTTGAAGGATCCCGAGAAGCTACGTTCAGCGGTTTTGTTTCATTTTCCCACATTTGTGTACTTTCACAGATATTAAACAGTTAATAAACCACCGTTATTACACATTTAAACCTGAAAAAACACTAATTAGACAAAATAACACAAAATCACACAACTTCACTCCTCGCGTTCCCGCCAAAAAGTCCATCTCTCAACACTAGTCCGCGACATCTGTTCACCACGACTTAACCTAACCTAACTTATCCCAAGAACCTTGAGACCAGTACTACGGGTCTTTGAACCTAGTACAGACTTCAGCACAGTAACAAAATCACACAACTTCACTCCTCGCGTTCCCGCCAAAAAGTACATATCTCAATACTACTCCGTGACATCTGTTCACGACTTAACCTAACCTAATCTATTCCAAGAACCTTGAGACCAGAAATACGGGTCTTTGAACCTAGTACAGACTTCAGCACATTAACAAAATCACACAACTTCACTCCTCGCGTTCCCGCCAAAAAGTCCGTCTCTCAATGCTAGTCCGCGACATCTGTTCAGGACTTAACCTAACCTAATCTATTCCAAGAACCTTGAGACCAGTACTACGGGTCTTTGAACCTAGTACAGACTTCAGCACAGCAACAAAATCACATAACTTCACTCCTCGCGTTCCCGCCAAAAAGTCCATCTCTCAATACTAGTCCGCGACATCTGTTCAGGACTTAACCTAACCTAACTTATCCCATGAACCTTGAGACCAGTACTACGGGTCTTTGAACCTAGTACAGACTTCAGCACAGCAACAAAATCACACAACTACACTCCTCGCGTTCCCGCCAAAAAGTCCATCTCTCAATACTAGTCCGCGACATCTGTTCACGACTTAACCTAACCTAATCTATTCCAAGAACCTGGAGACCAGTAATACGGGTCTTTGAACCTAGTACAGACTTCAGCACAATAACAAAATCACACAACTTCACTCCTCGCGTTCCCGCCAAAAAGTCCGCTGTTCGTCGACACATGAAAATTGTAACTACCCTCAAAAAAATTTTTTTATTTTGAAATGTCCACTTGAAGTCTCAATTCTTAAAATTGACGTACGCGAGATCAAACCTTACAATTCGTTGCAATTTCAAGTATCTGGTGGCTTGTCGAGCGTCCGGGGCCTTATCGGCAAGTCGGACGTAGTCAGGCGAATGATGTCGGTAAATGGAGCACATTCCAAAAAAATATTGAATATGACACAATACACGATTTGTTTCTTGCTATAGGAAAATTCAACAAAATTACCTTTTGGTGTTGCCCGTTGACACTGTCAATAGCCGGCACCCAGAATCGTGCGTACCGAAAAAACACATGTAAACAATGATTGTCTCCAATATGCGATTTATCTTTCAAGAAATATTGAGGTGAATGAAATACCTTCACGCTATGTAGTATGTAGTAGTGCAGACAGTGTGATAAAAATAAAAAGTATTTTATTATATATATGTATGTATGTACAACATATAGACAGGGGAAGGGTTCTTTGGTTAATGCGACATTTTAGTAATTTTACAGGAGAGAGTCATTTAAAGTTTGAAATTTGAAAAAAATATCTTATCCAAAAGAAAATTAGTCACCTATTTTCAATGGAGTTAATTTAATTGAAGTTCAATTAAAAATGTCGAACTATTAATGTTAATCTAGACTAATATTATAAAGAGGAAAGATTTGTTTGTATGTTTGTATTGAATAGGCTCCGAAACTACTGAACCGATTTGAACAATTCTTTCACTGTTTGGAAGCTACACTATCCCCGAGTGACATAGGCTATATTATTTTTTTAACAAAAATTAGGGATCCTTACTAAAACTCCAATAATGTAACCCAAGGTGTAAAAAAATCACCTAAAATATTCTTTACATCGCGTGCCCTGCGAAAACTATTCATGATAGAATAAAATAATGTACTACGACTTTGTAGAACACATTATTATTTACAAAAAGTGTCGCGACAGCATATGTCTGACTATTATAGTTATGCCGCAATAAGTGTTCGTTTATTTAAAAAACTAAAACAACATCAAAAATTGACCACAGACGTCAAGAACAAAAGTTTGACAATAGGTAAATAGTATGCATGCGTGTGTGCGTCAAATACATGGCATGTAGTGTGTGTATTGTTTTCTTTATTGATTTAATGTATCTTTTATGCATTATTTTTAAAAAATATTAGCATTGTGCACTTCTCTATATTCTCTATATATAAGTGTGGAAAATTTCATACTCTTCCGTACGCGCAATTTTCGTAAAAAGGGATACAAAGTTTTTGCTTCACGTATTAATATATAGATAAAAGTCGCGTCTTAAGCGAAATGTCGCTTATACCAAATAACCTTACACCCCTCGATATAAATGTTGCTAGACTAAAAAAAGCACAAGTTTGAAGCTTTAATCTTTTGTTTTTGAAATTATTACTCTAAGTATGTCCTTTCTGTGATCGTTCCGCTCAAATTATTCCAACGAATATTTTGTTTGTAAAGTAATTTTTTTTATATACAAATATATAATAATAATATGTAAAATATGCGTTAAATGAAACTAAGCCGTCCATTTTGTATTTTTTATTTTGTATTAATCAAACAAAAAAAAATATATTACCTTATACACTTAATAAATGCAGTTTCTATTTCTATATTTATTTATACTAGAGGTCCCGCAGTAGTCGAAATTCGACTATAATTAATTGGAATTGTAAGTTTGTACACTATTATGATTGTATTTTATACTTCTATAATCACATATTTCGCCAAGGCTACACTATAAAAAATATTAACAAAGAAACAATATTTAATCTATTCTCAATTTGACAAGATTCTCAATCTGACGAAGCATGTTGCGGATAATAACATGTACTTTTAGGTTAGGAATATTGTGTTCTTTTTTTTTTATAATTTGACAACAGACGTCAAGAACAAAAGTTTGACAATAAATAGTATGCATGCGTGTGTGCGTCAAATACATGGTATGTAGTGGGTGTAATGTTTTCTTTATTGATTTAATGTATTTTTTAGGCATAATTTAAAAAAATATTAACATTCTGCACTCCTTCTCTATACTCTGTATAAGTGTGGGGAATTTAATACTACTCAGTCCGCGCAATTTTCGTAAAAAGGGATACAAAGTTTTTCCTTCATGTATTAATATATAGATGTATCTACTTAGAAATCAATGTATGCTCTTTGGATCCACAAAACGGGTTCTAATAAAACATTTTCCACTTCAGAGAGTAAACATTTTTTTAATTTTTTTTTATTGCTTAGATGGGTTGTCTAGCTCACAGCCCACATGGTGTTAAGTGGTTACTGGAGCCCCTAGACATTTACAACGTAAATGCGCCACCCACCTTGAGTTATAAGTTCTAAGGTCTCAATATAGTATCTACTATCAATATCTACAATTACAGTTTATCCTTCGATTCTTTGCTGTGTTCTTCTATTAAGGATATTTGTTCTGATCCTTCGTTGCCTTTTAAAGGTATCTCGTAAGTCGGAGGCTGGCGGGTCCGTATCGGTTGATAACTGTCCTCGTAGGGCCGCAATCCTGGAAAGGAAACGCCATTTTGGATGCCTTGATCAGTAAATACGTATTGGAATACTGATTTTTTTATTTATTGCTTAGATGGGTGGACGAGCTCACAGCCCACCTGGTGTTAAGTGGTTACTGGAGCCCATAGACGTCTACAACGTAAATGCGCCACCCACCTTGAGATATCTATACTAATATATCTACAGTGGTTTTTACGGATGTTCCATTATAACTACTGAACCGTGCATCCGATTGACTTGAAACTTGGTATCCATGTAGAAAATACACGTACTTAATGGATAGGCTAATATTTATATGAGTGTTGGACTCCCTAATAATGATGAAAATAAATAATAATGTTAATTTTAAATGCCCAGCGAAGCGGGCGAGTACCGCTAGTAAGCTCTAAGGTCTCAGTATAGTTACAACGGCTGCCCCACCCTTCAAACCGAAACGCATTACTGCTTCACGGCAGAAATAGGCAGGGTAGTGGTACCTGCCCGTGCGGACTCACAAGAGGTCATACCATCAGTAATACGATAACTGATATGCGCCTCTTGCATTACTGGTTAAAGAGATCGAAACGCCATTGTGTTCTGGAGTTTCAAAAGCTTACAGATGTTAACAAAATGTCAGTTTAGCTCTTACCATTATCCGTGTAGCTTCTGTCTTGACCTGACGAATAAAAAAATACAATTTAACATACAAACCGTCTCGTGATTTCTAATCTATTAGGTATATGGGACCTTTAGAATTGATGTGGCTTAACTAAAAGCATTAAGAAAATGAGTTTAATACTTCGAAGGTTTTATAAACATGTATTCTATTGATTTATAAAATTAAACAGTCTCTTTTAGTTATTTTTTTCTCCTACCTAAACTGATAGCCTTGAGAGGCTATTTCAGTGTAACCTTAACTAGTAGATGAGCTCACGGGGCTCAAACCTGACGACGTTGCTAACACGAACTCTAGCAAGAGCCGTTCTTCGCAGAATCTACCATCGGAAACGCGACCCACTGAGAAGATCCGGCGAGAAACTCAGTGGGCTGTGTCTGTGGGTTAATTTACTCGTCGAGTCCTTCATCGCAAGCGACGGGTTCGACGGGAACGATGACCGGCTTTTAGTTTATAAAAAGACAAACGTAATATTTCCGTCTCTTTTAAATCAAGCACGCGTACCTTAAATCGTATTAAAACCGAAAAACTAAAAAAAATATTTATAATTCAACAATTACGTTTTTGGAGCTTACCTACCAAAAAAATAAAAACAAGAATTTTGTATTTAAGCCACTTCTTCAATTTTAAAAGTGCGATATATTTTTCGACATTTAGAGTAAGCAAACGAATTTCGATTACATTTAACATTAGCGAACTTAATTCTTAAATGTAGTATTTAATTAGAATACAGTGAAAAAGTTACTAAATAAAACCTAAGACACGAAATTTTAGCTCAATTTTTTTATTTGTGGCGTTTAAGAATGCACCTTTTTATGACGCGTAAGCCGGAACGCACGAGAGGCGGGAAAAAGAAGATAGTCTGTGACACGGGGCCTTTTTACCGCCGAAAAGGACTTTTTTGGCGGGAACGCGAGGAGTGAAGTTGTGTGATTTGTTTTATTTTGTCTATTTAGTATTTCTTCTTAAGTGTGTAATAATGGTGGTTTATTAACCGTTTAATATCTGTGAAAGTGCACAAATGTGGGAAAATGAAACAAAGCCGCTGGACGTAACTTCTCGGGATCCTCCAAAAAGTCCACTGAAAAAATCTTAGTAAATGACCACCATTTTACTGAGATTAGATTTCATCTCATATCATCTCATTTAATTTCATTCCAGTTGATTAATGTCTCAAATTAATCATTTTCATTTCATTTCACTCCATGATATCATTTTTCATAAAATTAAGAATATACATTAAAATAAGACATGACTTAAAGGTCTCAGTTACCAGGTCATAAAATCTCTTAAAAAAAATACAGCCGAAAATTTAAAAACGAAAAATAAAATATAATGTGTATAATAACTAATATAATATAATAAACTTAGTATTGTTTATGCCGCTACAACAATAAAACTCCTATTGTTTCAACTGTGATATTAATTACCTAAAACATGATTTTACGGCGAAATAAAGAAGTGAGTAGGTATATGGATTCCCTCAAATTGACCCTTTGACTGCGATGTAGGNATACAGCCGAAAATTTAAAAACGAAAAATAAAATATAATGTGTATAATAACTAATATAATATAATAAACTTAGTATTGTTTATGCCGCTACAACAATAAAACTCCTATTGTTTCAACTGTGATATTAATTACCTAAAACATGATTTTACGGCGAAATAAAGAAGTGAGTAGGTATATGGATTCCCTCAAATTGACCCTTTGACTGCGATGTAGGACACCGGTGGCCTAGACCGTGGTCAAAGGGTTAAAAAACAATTCGTGTTACCGTATTCGTGCGGCGACGGTGACCATGATGGTGACCACGACGGTGACCATTCTTGACTGTGACTCGAGTGCTTCGCCTTGAAGGATGTGAAGAAAGACGCCACCTATAGGATACGCAACTCATACTATAAAGGGTAGAGGTAAGGAGGACCATCTTGTATAGGCGTAAAGTTGAAAAAGTGTCCTTCTGTAAACATCGAGCTATTGTTGGTAGACTCACCGAAATAGCGCTGTGTGTGATGGTTTGAGTCTACTGGTGGTAGGACCTCTTATGAGTCCGCACGGGTAGGTACCACCACCCTGCCTATTTCTGCCGTGAAGCAGTAATGCGTTTCGGTTTGAAGGGTGGGGCAGTCGTAACTACACTGAGACCTTAGAACTCATGTCTCAAGGTGAGTGGCGGCATTTACGCTGTAGAAGTCTATGGGCTCCGGTAACTACTTGACACCGGGTGGGTCGTGAGCTCGTCCAACACATCTAAGCAATAAAAAAATAAATGTGTGCAATTCACACGTGGTAGAAGTGAAACCTTCCAAAATTAAAATACAATTATCCTAAACGTCTTAAGTATACGTAAAATTTTGTCATTAGTAAATAATTGTAAGGTAACGCCCTCTGTGAATTGATATTTTAATTTCACGTATAATCCTAAATTAAAATTCACTACAAGAGCTTTCATACACACGTTAGTATTAAAAAATCTCACAGATGGCGCTGTATTAAATAGTATGTATATTTCTGTCTCATTCTTTGCTGGCTTCATCCTACACATNGATTGATTTGAATATAATCGTCTCCTTCAAAGAATACGGTTCAAAACCTGCATTAAATAAAGGTTAATACTTAACCTGTTATTTATCTAAGATGTCGTTCAGAAGAGTTTTGTGACTGCCAATGGAATACAAAGTCAATAATTCGTTTTTCTGATTTACCAACAATTGTCCAAAAGTCACATTGCCGGCTTTGATAATAGTCGACTCACATCTAAGCAATAAAAAAAGGGTTCAGTGACGACAATGATAGCGCTCCAGATATAGAAGCCGAAATTCCTCGTTGTGCAACATTTATCGCCGGGTACTGTATTCGTTCGATCCATGGTAGGTAATAACGCGGTAAATTTCGGCCATATGTCGAGTGTCCAGTTTATAGAGTTTTCTCGGAAATTTTGTGAAAAAAAAACCACTAGACATAGCCTATAACAAAAGATTCAAATACTTAGAGAAAAAAAACAACCACAGTTTATTAAAATTTATTAAACTAGCTTTTGCCCGCGACTTCGTCCGCGTGGAATGATTCACAAATAATGCTTTATTTTAGAACAAATTTGGTTAGCATAAAAAACGTTATAGTGAGCCAAACTTAACATTTAGATATGCTGTCACGGACTTTTTTTAGATCTTTTAAAGGGGAAACATTATTTTAGCGTTTCTGCAGCGCACGCAGCGGAAGCTCCCAAAAGGGAAAAAAACTCAGATTTTGAAACATTCTTTATTGGTGCTCCGCTTTGTCTTAGCGTGATGTTATATAGCCTATAGCTTTCCTCGATAAATGGGCTATCTAACACTGAAATAATTTTTCAAATCGGACCAGTAGTTCCCTGAGGTTAGCGCGTTCAAACAAACAAACTCTTCACCTTTATAATATTACTAGCGACCCGCCCTCGCTTCGCTTCGGAAACATTAAAACAAACATGAAACCAAAAAAAAAAATTTAAAAAAATATTAAAAAAGTAGCCTATGTTCATCAGGGACAATGTCGGCTTCTAATGGAAAAAGAATTTTTCAAATCGGTCCAGTAGTTTCGGAGCCTATTCGAAACAAACAAACAAACAAATCTTTCCTCTTTATAATATTAGTATAGATATAGATATAGATAAGTATAGATATAATATAAAAAATAAGTATAGACGAGTTGTTGTGTTCATTCGACAAATAAGAAAAGAAAAAAAAACTAAATTATTAAATGACGTGTCGTGATCAATAAAAAAACAATCTATTTGACGATCTAATCGAAAAACTGAATTGGTTCAGTTAAATTGGTTACATTGAAAATTGTATACGATAATAGATAAACTGGCGGATTCCGGCAGGTGAGTGACGGCGTTTACGTTGTAGATGTCCATGGGCTCCAGTAACCAATTAACATCAGGTGGGCTGTGAGCTCGTGCACCCATCTAACTAATAAAAAAAAATAAAAAACTTGTCTACTCGCTACAGCTCCTTGGCGGTAACAGACTCCACCGCCTTAGTAATAACTTGGTCGACATCCGTGCGTTCCGCTCCGAAAATTACGTATAATATTACTGCAAATAAATTCATGGAAAAAAACTTTTTTGGCTCATCGAAACTGAACCGTAAACGCGCCACACACCTTGAGATATAAGTTCTAAGGTCTCAGTATAGTTACAACGGCTGCCCCGCCCTTCAAACCGAAACGCATTACTGCTTCACGGCAGAAATAGGCGGGGCGGTGGTACCTACCCGCGCGGACTCACAAGAGGTCTTACCACCAGTCATCATCAGCCTATAACAGTCCAGTGCTGGACATAGGCCTATCCAATTGCACGCCATTAAGCACGAACCTGGGATTCTCCCATCCAGCAGACAAGTACTGGCACAAGACTAAGCCCTGCAAAGTGCTTTGTAAGATTCACCTGACCAATACAAGAAATAAAACCTCGCCAATGGTCATCTTCCGTCCAAACAGCTATGGCTGAAGACTAGTACGACCAGCCACTTCATTCAATAGATAGCTTCGGAGCAATCATTCGTTAACGAATTGCTTCCCTGATCCGCCGCATGCGGGTCAGTTGCAGCATCTACCTGTGGCTGTTTGCCTCGCGGATGGATCCTGGACTGCCCAATAATGCAACACTGGACACGTGAGCATGTTGGGCACTCTGGATCCAAACCAGCCTTTAGGTTAAGGTGGTTCTGATGTTAATTTTGAGTTTTTGTTTTATTATTATTATTTATTTATATTTATTTAAAATCTTATTAATTACACAATATTTTTTAAAAAAGATATTAAAGATACAATTTTTAAAACACTCTATATAAATATAGATTGCCGCTGATGGCGGTGTCTACGACACAAGCCACAAGTGGTTAAGACTCCAGAGTGAGAAACCTCCTCACAATGCGTGCAATATCGAGGATAACTGCTTTCTGTATTAGGCCCTTAACCCAGCTGGATAACGAAAGTTTCTTAAGATATTGATCGGTTATTGTACCTATTGAAACAATGATGGTTGAATCAACATTCCGCATGGCGGTAGTCTCGTAGGCCAGGTCTAAATATTATTATTATTATTATTATTTTTTTTGTTTTTTTATTATTATTATTATTACTTTTGTTTCATTCCGAGATTGTATAATAGTTATTGTTTTTATTTAATTCTGGTATACTATGTATATGAATACCATGGACGGCCCGCCGCACCAACATATCTATTCTCAGGCAGTAAAAATAGAAAAGATTCAACGTCTATCCACAATCTGTCTACAAAGAATATTGCGGTATTTTGGTCATGTTGCACGTAGGGATACCAGCAATTTGGAACGCCTTGTGGTGACCGGTAAAATAGAGGGAAAAAGGCCTAGGGGTAGAGGTCCCAAACGATGGTCGGACCAAATAGCGGAGGAACTGGGGATACCTATCAGNAAGAATATTGCGGTATTTTGGTCATGTTGCACGTAGGGATACCAGCAATTTGGAACGCCTTGTGGTGACCGGTAAAATAGAGGGAAAAAGGCCTAGGGGTAGAGGTCCCAAACGATGGTCGGACCAAATAGCGGAGGAACTGGGGATACCTATCAGCGACGCACTCCACCGGGCTGCAGGGCGGGATCGATGGAGACAGTTGGTTGACAAAATCGGACGGAGTCACGATCCTCAGCAGTGAGGAACCGATCGAAGAGAGAGAGATGTATATGAAATGTCAATGAATGTAATATGGATGCAAAGTCTGAAGTAAATGAAATAAATAAATTGCCTAATTCTACCGCTGATCAAGGACCTATCTGAAGTTTAGTTTTCAGCCTAGAAAACTGACTATCGGATTATGTAGTTTCAAAATCGTCTGTCAATCTACAGCCGCTCAAAGACCGCAGATTAGTCGTTAGAGTTAGTGATATAAAAAATAACCGACGAAATAGATTCAAGTCACGCGAGACATTGATTAAGTCTAGACACTGTTTTCTGACCTGTTTCAAATGAGTCTGATGTTTTAACGGTAGTTAAATTTGTATAAAGAAGTTTTATAAAGAAATTGCTTGATAATAACAAAGAGTTTTTTTAACCACGGCTAGGCAAATTAAAGTATTTGGGCGTTATTGTGGAAGGTCATACGAAATGTATTTGGTTTTTAAATGTGACTAGTGAGCTAGTAATGTTTCTGGTCTAGATTTAGTAGCTTTGCGTATAGAAGAAGAAGATACGTGGAAATATACTTTAGCAAATGAGAGGGGTTCTTCGTTTGTCCCGCCAATGTTGGTGATAACTTTATTTTTTTTAAATAAATAAATATTTTACTAACAATCACGCCACGTTAATTGGTCCCGTGCTAAGTTCGTAAAGAACTTGTGTTACAGGTATCAGATAACGGAAATAAATATAAGATTTTTTTATACGCATACATATATATAATATACATCTATAACCCTGGAAAATACATTTATATTTATCATATAAATATCTTCGCTTGGCGGGATTCGAACCCGCGACCACCTTGTGTAGTGACCATGTCACTTACCACTACACCAGACGGCTGTGGCTTTGCCAAGTTGATGTTAATGGGCGATGATGACTACCAAGGACTACTTGCCTTTGTCCAGCTCTCATGCATTGACAAGTTTCCTTTTAGACTCTTCTACGGCTGCGTAAGTAATAGCACAGCGCTTACCTTAGCTGAGCTGACGGCTATTTTGAAGACCAGTATCGCGAGTCCGATCGCCACAGACTTCGCGGCCAGTAAACCGGTCAGAATAATCCAAGTCGATGTGGCTCCGACGTGGAATATCAACGGCAGCAGCGGGAGGGCCATCTTCTTTAAACTTTTACTCGCTGTGAAGAAATAACTTTCGTAAAAGCTTAATGAATAACTTTCTTAAGAAATAACTTTCGTAACTTTAATTTACTGGTGGTAGGACCTCTTGAGAGTCCGCGCGGGTAGGTACCACCACCGTAGGGCAGCCGTCAACTATACTGAGACCTTAGAACTTATAATCTCAAGGTAGGTGGCGCATTTATGTTGTAGATGTCTATGGGCTCCAGTAACCACTTAACACCAGGTGGGCTGTGAGCTCGTCCACCCAACTAAGCATAAAAAAAAGCAACGTTATTATCTTAATAAATCTTAAATGTCATAGTAACTTTGATATCTTTGAATACATCTACATGTCCAACCCAGGCGACATAAAGCCGGCCTTGCCCAAAAACATGTTTTACTGGTGGTAGGACCTCTTGTGAGTCCGCGCGGGTGGGTACCACCGCCTATTTCTGCCGTGAAGCAGTAATGCGTTTCGGTTTGAAGGGTGGGGCAGCCGTTGTAACTATACTTGAGACCTTAGAACTTATATCTCAAGGTGGGTGGCGCATTTACGTTGTAGATGTCTATGGGCTCCAGAAACCACTTAATACCAGGTGGGCTGTGAGATCGTTCATCCATCGAAGCAATAAATAAAAATAAAAAAAACGAATGTCGCCGTGACGTGAAGTCGCAATGGCATTGTACCAATGGACTTATCTTTCATACCGGGAGATTTCTGACTTAAGGCGGGGGCAGAAGGGCAAGCCTATACGTGCAGGCTTACATTACAACTAAATCTATCTCTTTCTCTGTTAATGAGAGTTTGTATTGGCAGACTTGAGGATTGGTGCGAGCTGATTAACTTTCTGTTAGGGGGACGCGTATGAGCTAAGATTGACTGGACTTCCACGGTGAAGGAAGAACATCCTTAGTATTTCCTTCAAGTTTTGCGTCTGATAGACATAATTGATACCGTATATGGCTTAAATTCGTACGTTTTTTTTTATATTGCTTAGTTGGGTGGACGAGCTCACAGCCCACCTGGTGTTAAATGGTCACTGGAGCCCATAGATATCTACTGAGATATATATTGAGATGTAAGTTCTAAGGTCTCAGTATAGTTATAACGGCTGCCCCGCCTTTCAAACCGAAACGCATTACTGCTTCACGGCTGAGATAGGCGGGGCGATGGTACCTACCCGTGCGGACTCACAAGAGGTCCTACCACCAGTAAAAGTAAGTTTTAAGCCGTGCGAGACTCTACCTAATGACTAATAAATCGTGTAGGCGTATTCCTAGGCCATACAGTGGTTACTACCGGCCATCCTACTTGTCGAAAAGCAGGGTAGCGTTCCGGTATTAAAGAGTAAGATAACCTTTGTTACAACATAAATAAATCACCAATTCGTATGTTTAGTTGTTCACTGGCATTAGGTCTATGGCAAAATTATAATTTGCGTAATCACTGGTGGTAGGACCTCTTGTGAGTCTGCACGGGTAGGTACCACCGCTCCTCCTGTTTCTGCCGTGAAGCAGTAATGCGTTTCGGTTTGAAGGGTGGGGCAGCCGTTGTAACTATACTGAGACTTTAGAACTTATATATCTCAAGGTGGGTGGCGCGTCTACGTTGTAGATGTCTATGGGCTCCAGTAACCACTTAACACCAGGTGGGCTGTGAGCTCATCCACACATTAAAGCAATAAAAAAAAAAAAAAAGATTTATTAAACGTGTTGGAGTAATTAAGAAAAATAACTCACTGGAATGTTCCATCCGCGGACTGAAGTACCTCCCAATTTCAGGATTTTCGCTCGCATCTCCTTTAGTGTCCAGCCACCCTTTGAAAAAACTCAACAGATTGTCGACAGTATTATCGAAGAAAGACAAGAAAAATCCGAATAGATCTGCATTCTGGCAATTAACATTCACTATATTGATCAAAAGCAATAAGAAGATTAAGTTCTTAGACATTTTTCTCGTATACAATAACGTCCACACGCATCAACTCCGAAAACGCAGTGAACCGAATTGAGATCCGTTTTCGGAATATATCTACCGCGTCGATGATTGAGTTCGCCTGATTTGCGTCCGAGATGATTTTTTATAGCTCTCAAAACGTGTGGCTTCTCATCGTTGTCTAGAAATGAAAGGGAGGTCTAGTAAATGTAATTTAGCTGATATGTACCGAGGAGAAACTTTCAATTGGACTTGTAAAATTAATAATAAGTAATTAAATAACAAAAATTATTGCTTAGATGGGTGGACGAGCTCACAGCCCACCTGTTGTTAAGTGGTTACTGGAGCCAATAGACATCTACGACGTAAATGCGCCACCCACCTTAAGATATTAGTTCCAAGGTCTCAAGTATAGTTACGACGGCTGCCCCACCCTTCGAACCGAAACGCATTACTACTTCACGGCAGAAATAGGCAGGGTGGTGGTACCTACCCGCGCGGACTCACAAGAGGTCCTACCACCAGTAAAACTCGTTTTTGGGTAAGGCCGGCTTATGTCGCCTGGGTTGGACATGTAGTTAGCGGCAGCCCACGAGGAGGAGGGAGGGAGAGGGTTATCGTGACGTGAAACGTTCTGACGCTGAGCCTCAGACGATTACGAATGATTGTTAAAGCTATTTGGATTTCTATAACACAATTCCCATACCGGATTCATGTAAACGACTCTTTAAGTGGCCACGAGTAATGCACTCCACTTAAAGATGTATTTGACATTTCGTGACAAATAACTTGGACGTGGCCCGATGGAAAAAAGCGCGTCCCGAATATATGTATTTGGCTGGTCATAACGTCATTTTTTTTTTATTGCTTAAATGTGCGGACGAGCTCACAGCCCACCTGGTGTTAAGTGGTTACTGGAGCCCATAGACATCTACAACAAAAATGCGCCACCCACCTTGAGATGTAAGTTCGAAGGTCTCAGTATAGTTACAACGGCTGCCCTGACCTTCAAACCGAAACGCATTACTGCTTCACGGCAGAAATAGGCAGGCTACCCGCGCGGACTCTCAAGAGGTCCTACCACCAGTAAATACGATACGAGTAAGTACAATAAACTGTTTAGCATCATACAAACATCTTCACAATTTAGATTAAAGTATTAGGGAAAATATGACGAGAACCGGTATTAAAATAAAATAAAAACTTAATTTGTACATATTTACGCGGTTCAAAATTAATAAAATAGGGCCGGGCTTTTTTTCGGTTCACACACGCCCACTTGACAAAAATCTCGCCGAGGTTCGCCACCTTAATCGGACTTGCGCAGCCCTTGCATCCAGAGGATTCCCGCGACTTGAGCAGATCGTCAGTCTACCTTTTGGGAGGCCTATCCACGCTACGCTTTCCGGGACGCGGTTGCCACTAGTGAGCTTTTCGGCCCAGCGGCCATTTGTTCTACCAGCTGGGCTATTACGGGCAAATAATTGCTTTTGATATATTAAGATTTAGCAATTACTTAGTTATTGAGAGGGAAGAATAATCACCCTGAAAATGTTGACATTAATAATACTAACAGAATTTCTCCCGTCACCGTTCTTCGCCTTCGTCGCAAGCGAAGGGTTCGGCGAGTAAACTAACCCACAGACGCAGCCCACTGAGTTTCTCGCCGGATCTTCTCAGTGGGTCGCGTTTCCTATCCGGTGGTAGATTCTGCGAAGCACGGCTCTTGCTAGGGCCAGTGTTAACGATGCCTCCTGGTTTGAGCCCTGAGAGCTCACCTACATGTTAGGGTTACGCTGAAATAGCCTCTCATCAAGGCTCTAAAAAAATCGGATCTTCATCATTTCTATGTTAAAACAATGCACATCAGACCAGATGCCTTTAAAATGTTCGTACATCATTTGCAGTGCAGATGAAATTTCAGCAAATTTAAATTCTATTTCTAGAAGCTGTCCAGTATCAAATTCCTGAGGTGACCGGAGAAAGCGTTTGTGTTAAAAATGGAGTCATTTTTCAAGAACGCTTTTTTTTTGTTTACGGAAATTTAACACGTGGTTTTATTATGGAAGCCGTTCGATATAATGTTCACATGTCGACTTTTTTTTTTCTAACGACAATGCATTATTATACTTTCATTTCGTTCTGCTTATGGCATGCATATTATGACGTCGAGCAACTACGCGGTTTTGGCAAAGTAGCTTGTATTTCAATATCGTTAAGATCTCTATTTAATGTATTAATAAGGGGGTCGCGTTTCCGATCCGGTGGTAGATTTTGCGAAGCACGGCTCTTGCTAGGGTTCGTGTTAGCAACGTCGTCAGGTTTGAGCCCCGTGAGCTCACCTACTCTTCCGGCGAATCTAGAATAACCCCTTGAGGTTACTAGAATAGGTAGGAAAAAAAGAGACCATAAGGCCTCTTAGAATATGCGCTATTGAGCTTGATCGCTTCTATTGGCTATTGCTTCTTCAGCGAGTCGATTAACGGCACCTCAACAATTGGGAATAAAAAATGTCAACTGTATTTGAAAAAATACAAAAATAGTATAAATATTGTTTGTTAATACTAATTTCTTATTATTCATAAATGTTCTTAAGCTATAAAATTATGTCTTAATATGGAAGGGAACAAAAATGTTTGCAATATTAAAAATGAATACGCTCATAAAAAAAGTACTTGTGGTAAGAGTACTCTCTTTATCTTACAAAAGTTTAAAATATCGTGTTCGACATTTTCTTCAAAACAAACAAATTAGAAGTCGCCGCGTTGATAATAGCACCACCGCTTGGACACTTTTTATTGTCAATTTTAATAATGAAAGTTCCCGCAAATCGGATGAATAGGTAATGTGTTACACCGAACTATATTTGATAATGTATTTTTATCGTTTTTTGCAATCACGAAGTTGATTGTATATTTAGAATCTTACCGGAACCGCGCGCAAAAAATTAAACAATCTAAACATAATTAAAAGGGGACTTGAAGTACATACATTAAATACACCGCTCAAATATACATGTGAAATCAAATCAAAAATTTTTTATTCAACATTATTACATTTATTCAACATTTAACTGGTGGTAGGGTTCTGTGTAGAAGCCCGCCCGGGTTGGTACCACCGTCCTGTCTATTTCTGCCGCAAAACAGTAATACTGTGTTCCGGTCTGAAGGACAGGATAGCCGGTGTAACATACATAAGGCTGCCCATCCAGGCCAGGATAGGCAGCGCATCTGAGTCACTGATGTAGTTTGGATGTCTATGGGCGACGGTTATCATTTCCTATCGGATGAGCCGTAAGCTCGTCTGCCTATCGAAAGCAAAAAAAAAAACATTAATGAAAGTACACTAGAGGTTCCGCAGTAGTCGAAATTCGACTATAATTAATTGGAATTGTAAGTTTGTATGATTGTATTTTATACTTCTATAATCACAAATTTCGCCAAGGCTACACTATAAAAAATATTAATAAAGACAAACAATATTTAATCTATTCTCAATTTGACAACAGACGTCAAGAACAAAAGTTTGACAATAAACAGTATGCATGCGTGTGTGCGTCAAATACATGGTATGTAGTGTGTGTAATGTTTTCTTTATTGATTTAATGTATCTTTTATG